TATCATCTGTTATAAATAATTGCTGTTGACAGCTTATACTGACAGGTGTTTGAGCAGTTGTCAATAATATGCTCATTTTATTGATTCTTTTCTCCCTTATATATCATGACTGAAATTTCAGTAGCTCAGAGTATAAATATTAATTCAGCCATCACTCTTATCTGCCTGACACATGATCACAGAACCAACAGCTGTGCCTCTGATGTCCACATGGACTAAAAGCCACAAGATCGTGAGAGAAAAGAAAAGGGCAACAATGCAGACAGGCTAAATTAGTATTAGGTTGGTGCAAATGTAATTGCGGGCCGGGCGTGGTGGGTCATACCTGTAATCCCAATACTTTGGGAGGCCGAAGTGGGTGGATCACTTAAGGGTCAGGAATTCAAAACCGGCCTGGCCAACATGGCGAAACCCCACCTCTACTAAAAATACAAAAATTAGCCAGTCGTGGTGGTGGGCACCTGTAACCCTAGCTACTCGGAAGGCTGAGGCTCAAAAATCACTTGAACCCGGGCGGTGGAGGTTGCAGTGAGCTGAGATGGCGCCACTGCACTCCAGCCTGGATGACAGACCGAAACTCCATCTCAAAAAAAAAAAAAAAGTAATTGCGATTTTTGTCATTAAAATTGTGAAAACTGCAATTACTTTTGCACCAGCCTAATAACTCAGTGTCATCAAGAAACCCGCAAGAACAGCCACACGTTTCTTTAGAGATGATTCTCAAGATTTCTCCAAAAATAGAGTGAGATGCCAGATCTAAAAATACAAGGAGTACATGAGAGTCTACCTACCTTTCTCCACCCAGCCTCCTCCTCTGCCCGGGTCCATCACACCCGCACCCAAGCTTACACTCTCCCGACAGGAAACAGGGGCATGCTTCCTTCTCTGGGGATATTAACACTTAGGGTCACCCAATAAAGCAGCACAGTCACTTCCCAACCCTGTTATATAGTAAAGACCACTAGACACACACCTCATGAGATATACAACCTACAATCAGCTCAAAAGTATGCCTCACTCATAAATGGCTGGGCCAAACTTGCCAGATTGGGGGAAACTTGGGGAAAATGAGAGCTAAAATAAAAGTAAAGTGAAAGAGGCTGGGCACGGTGCCTCACGCCCGTAATCCCAGCACTTTAGGAGGCCAGAGTGGGTGGATCACTTGAGGTCAAGAGTTCAAGACCAGCCTAGAAAACATGGGGAAACCCCATCTCCACTAAAAATAAAAAATTAGCCAGCTGCGGTCAAATGGTCCAGATAGTTTTTGATAAAGACAATAGGAGGGGCTGGGTGCAGTGGCTCACACCTGTAATCCCAGCACTTTGGGAGGCCAAGGTGGGTGGATCACCTGAGGTCAGGAGTTCAAGACCAGCCTGGCCAATATGGCAAAACAAAAATTAGCTGGGCATAGTGGTGCACACCTGTAATCCCAGCTACTTGGGAGGCTGAGGCAGGAGAATCATCTGAACCCGGGTGGTGGAGGTTGCAGTGAGCCAAGATCATGCCATTGTACTCAGCCTGTGCAACAGAGTGAGACTCTGTCTCAAGAAGAAAAAAAAAAAGACAACAGGAGGTGAAAGGTAAGTAAATTAGAAGATCATTGCAGGTGTGTGAAAGGTGTCAGAATCAAAATTCAGTCACATGTTTAAAATTCTAAAATACAGAGCCAGAGAAGGTCATAAAAGGAGAATTCTCACTAAAAACATATCGTACTTTTTGGTATACTCTATATGCAGAATTATATATATTTGTTCGAATTTTTAACTCTTAATAACTTTAATTTCTAGTGAAAACCTAGGAAATAAGATGCTTTTTAGTGTCTGTCACATCTCAGTATTTTGTAGATGTGAACCATTTTATCATTTTAAAAACATTTCCCCAAAACATAATTTTTGTGTGTATTAATAAACCGAAATATATTTAGTCTTTATATAAAACTCAAAAATCCAAGAACAAACTTACATATTTATGTTCAGCAATTTATGTTTCAGTATTTTAACTTACTTATAAATGGCTCGGACATTTTATGAATATCTATTACCCAATTTAACATAACTTTAAGATTTCACAAGTTTATAAATGTTTATCCCATTACATTTTCCTAATGTATTTATTTTTAACAATTTACCTGGATTACCATAGCCAAGCTATCAGTCAAGTGTGAGGCTAGGCTGAAGACTGTCTGTGACCTCAGGCAAGGGTCATAACATGTCTGCACTTCCTGTTCCTCCACACAAAAGCAATGAAGATGGTAGCACCGCCTTGCCCGTCTCACAGGATCCTTACCAAGATGAGATAAAGCATAACTTCCATCCATAGAGTACTAATTCCCTTGTAAGTCATAAGCTCCTCTGGGGCAGCGTCTAATTGTGATTTATCTTTGGACTCTCTAAATTACCCAGACCAGGGACTTACACGTAGTAAATATCAATAAATACTCTTTGAATGAATAAATAAGATTTGTACAGCAACTTACTAAATGTTGAAAGATAGAGCACTTTGTATATAACCATAAAAATTTCGAAACCTGATTATATATATTATATATATTTATATATTCATATATATATTTATATTCATATATATTTATATATTCATATATATTTTAATATACTTATATATTCATATATATTTATATATATATATAAAAAATACTGCGTTCTAGAAGAATAAAGTATGACATGGCCATGTAGTAGAATCTTGTGTATTCATTAGACTGAGTTGTTGTTGTTGTTGTTGTGTTTTGACCAAGGAAATTGTTCATGATGTAATGCTGCAGTGTTTAAGATGGGTTGTAGATCAGTGAGAAATGACATTCCCCCTCAGAAACACACATTCCCATACACCTGCTATATTTCCCAATTAGGTGAAAAGAGGGAAATTAACAGAAACAAGGAGGCTCCCAGAGAGAGTGAGTGAGGGACCTGGAGAGGTTTGTCCTGGCCCCTGACTTGCCTGTAGTATTCAAGGGGCTGGTGTCATTCTCTGTCCAGGTAAGGCCTCGTCAACGTTGAGAAAACAGCTAAACCCTTGTAGTGCAACAACCCTTTTAGACTCAGGCGGGCATTGCCAATCTGGAATAATATACACTGGTAATCCATGCGCTTCCATTTGAGGAAGTATTAGAAAGCATCGGCCTCTCCTTGTTCCTGAACCTGCCTCACAATCTACGAGGCCACCCCATTTCCAGGTAGAAAGCAGAGGCTGTGCCTAGATGGCCCTGAATGACAGCTCCGCCTGCCACTCTCCGCTGTCCTAGAAAGCCTGCTTCCCCACTGTCTACCCCGCTCCGATTTCATCCTGTTTCCCAGATGAATCTCAAGCTGTGTTAGTTTGAGACCTAATGTTACAAATCCATGGAGTCTATGATCGCAAATATTCAAAAATGTGGAAGAATCACTGAGGCAGGAGCATCGCCTGAGCCCAGGAGCTTGAGGCTGAGAGTGGGAGGACAAAAGGGCAGGTGGGGAGAAGATCCTCCCTGGTGGCCCCGCAGCGCCTCTGTGGATGGATTTCACGAAATAGTACAAAGGGAAACTGAGGGTCAATAAACGAATGCCCTGAAAACCACCTGGCAAGAAACCCTTGTAAAGTTTCTTGGTAACCTCAGGGGGATGCAGGCCCCAGTTTAAAAACCACTCACTCAGAACTCCAGGACTGCAGGTGCTTGCTTAGCATCCGGGCTGCTGACAGAAGCGCTGTTTAGGCAAGACGCTAGGGGGATTTGGGAGCAACCCACCTCTCTAGGTCGATGCTTTTCAAAATGGCTTTCCTAGACCACCTGCATCAAATATTATCTGGGTGTTTATTTAATACGTTTAACATGAAGATTCCTAGGCTCTGTCTCGAATCAGCTGAAAAGGAATCTTTAGGAAGAGGGACATGTGAAACTGTTTGTTGAAGTAATTTATAGCAACGAATGTGCTTTGTTGTTGTTTGTTTGTTTGTTTGTTTGTTTGGACAGGGTCTCACTCTGTCCCAGGCTGGAGTGCAGTAGCCCCTCATCATCACACCCACAGCATTCTGCTTTGTCTAAGGCTTCCAAATGTATTCCCTAGTTTCCACCACACCATGGCAGCCCCTCAAGCGCAGGGGCTGGATCTATGTCTAATTCATCGTTGTGGCCACATCCTAGCCACGTGACTAGCACATAGCTGTGCTCAATAGATACTTGTTATATGAATAAATTCATAGTAAGTAGAAGATACAGAAATGAAGAAGGTGGCCGGGTGCAGTGGCTCACGCCATAATCCCAGCACTTTGGGAGGCCGAGGTAGGAGGATTGCTTGAGTTGAGGAGTTCAAGACCAGCCTGGGCAACATGGTGAAACCCTGTCTCTACAAAAAATAAAATAAAATAAAATAAAATAAAATAAAAGAAGGGAAGAATGTTTGAGGACCTCCCAAATATAGGATTAGTGCTCAGTCACTAATACACGAAGGAGCAGATTGGCGGTATGGATCACCACAACCAAAAGGTAACCTCCAAATCATTTCTATCGGACCATCACCCATCTATCTATCATCTCTCTATATGTGTAATCTATATATGTAGATATAATCTATATAGGTATATAATTTATATATATATCTATATATAATCTTTAAATTATGCAGTGATAGAAAGGGCAGGATTATGCGATGGCAGAGGGGATTATGCCTTGAGCTTCTGGAACTATGGAATATCAACGTGGAAGACTTGAAGACCTATTTGCTGGGGACCCTCTAAGCCTCCTAGAAAACGGTGACAAGAACTTTGGGACATCTGCGGGGACACCGGATGTTCTGGCGTTTATGAACCAAGCCTGGGGGTGCTGTGAAGTTGTGGTGGTGTTTTCAGCGAGGACAACAAGGCTGCTGATTTGTCACTCAAGTGCCCTTTGGCCCGTTGCCTGGGAATTCATCTTAAAGGTCTCAGTGAAGGAGACTGTCCATTAAAGAGCCCGATTACCCACCAGAAGCCTAATTAGTAACTGAACTTGCCCCTGGGCAAAGAAGAACCCTGAAGCCTGAATTCAAGACAGCGGCAGGGAAAACAGCAATGGTCAGTTACAGACACCAGGTGGCGCAGGAGAATGCCAAACTCCCAGGAGCGCAAGGCAAACCCACATCCTGGTTCTCCCCTAAGAGACTTCCGTAACCTCAGAAACTTGTCTGGAGGAGGGCTTGGAGCCAGACGCCGTTGAAACGGTAACCCAAGACCTTCATTTCACCCTTGCCTCGGTTTTATCCTTAAAATTACACCCAGAAAGTGAACTGTCTGATAGGGCTGGCTCTTGAGAGCCAATTGCTAAATTTTACCCTTGCCTCGGTTTTATCCTTAAAATTACACCCAGAAAGTGAACTGTCTGATAGGGCTGGCTCTTGAGAGCCAGTTGCTAAATTTTTAGTCCGTCTTTTCTCAACCTCATGGTCAGTGACACCAAGTCGGTAACTTGAAATTGGCCATGGAGGAATATTTACACCATGGAAATCGGCAAATGCTATAAATTAGTTCTTAGGAGGGTTGGTTGTTAAACATTTACCCAACACTCCTGGGTGAGGAGAGACCGCCCATAAATTGTGCTGGGAGGCAAAAGAGGAAAGTTTGGCGTTACAGTTTGCTTCTGATAATAACTCGGACAAAGTCAAATGTAGCAGCTAAAAACGTGGACTCTGTATTCAGGATTTAGGACTTAAATGTGTACTTTGCCATTTATTAGCTGTGTAGACTTGGGCAATCCATTCTTGGTGCCTGTCTCTTCATCTGTAAAAAAGATATAATTGTACCTACTTAGTAAGGCTACTGGAAGGGTTAAAGGAATCCCTACGTATAAGTCACCTTAAATAACTATACGTGTTAGATATTACTATTACGAAAAGGTGATGAAATTATTAATACCATTAATACAGAAATCATTACAATGTAAACAACCGAGACACACTTGAATTTTAAGACCTTAAAGCCATTCACCAATCTTGTTATATTTGTATATTTAATTTCACATCCTGAATTAAATTTATTTTCTGGAAAGTAACTAAACACATTGCCTGATTTTAATCCAGAACAAAAAGCTTTTCACTCTCATACGTTCTCTTTTGAATATTTGGGAAGTAAATTATATATTTCCAGGGTTTTGCTCTAAAGGCTTTTTATTCTCTTTCTTTAAATATTTTGTAAATATCAGAAAGTCAGGTGGGTTTCCCGAAGAGCATGCCATTTAACATGAGTATATCTTAAATTGTCTGAGTCCAACAGAGGTTGCTCAGAAATTGGGTTAATAGAGACTCCAAGTCTCATTCCTCTAATGAGAGGCGAAGGGTTTTTCTCCATGTTTTGGATGGTGGCAGCCTTTGAGAATAAATAGAGGAAATGATCTCTCATAGCAACAGAAGGAAAGTAGAACAATCTAGAACAACTAGACATGTGACTTTCTCTGAAACCACAAAGTAAATAAAAGACTCAGCTTTATGATTTAAAGAGCTTCATCAATTAGGTCTGGATTTTGATTGATAAAAAATTCAGGAGGTCTGCTTACATAAAATTGTGAAAGACTTTTCTAGAAGTTTTGAAGAAAGTTGGGTTGCAACCTATCCTCTGACATCCTGACATTAAGAGTCACCTGGCCTGAGGTCAGAGGAATGAATATTCAGTGACCCACCTATGTCACTTCTAACTGGCAGAAATTAGAAAGCTGTGAAATAAATTGGTCAAAGAAGCTGTCGAACTCATCGCATCATCTATACTTTAAGGCCCAGAACTGCAGTGCTTTCTGCTCCCTCCAGCCACTTACCTTTTTGACTCACTTATTATATTTTCATGAGCCAATCAGACTCATATGTATTGATTTTCTGTTATTTCTACCCAATACTATAAGATGTGCTGTTGAAAAAATTATTTTAAAAACTACAACTACAGGGAAAATAACACTTTTTCAAGGCACAACAATTAACAGGGCATGCGCTATAAATCTGTAATAAATAATAATTTTCTACAAATCAGGCCAGGCATGGTGGCTCATGCCTGTAATCCCAGCACTTTGGGAGGCTGAGGCGGGTAGATCACCTGAGGTCAAGAGTTCGAGACCAGCCTCGCCAACATGGCGAAACCCTGTCTCTACTAAAAACACACAAAAAATTAGCTGGGCATGGTGGTGGGCACCTGTAATCCCAACTACTCAGGAGGCTGAGGCAGAAGAATTGTTTGAACCCAGGGGGCGGAGGTTGCAGTGAACCGAGATTCAGCCACTGCACTCCACTGTACTCCAGCCTAGGTGACAAGAGTGAAACTGTCTCAAAAAAAAAAAAAATCCAAGGACATTTTAACGATGCAGACACACTCCGAGTTTCTCACTCTGGAATGCTTGGGACACAAGAAAGTGACAGGGTGCTTCCGCAGCAAAAAGGATGCACACTGCTGTTTTTAGAATTCCTTCTGGTGTACGGTCTACTCAGCCCCTCAGGGGAAAAGCATGTGACACTCTCAGTCATATGAGACGACAGCTGTCTTGCTGTCATGGTCATACCCAGAACTATTCTGCCACCACCACAGCTGCTGGTGGAGCCCAGATGGGTGTGTCCATGCATAGACAAGCAGCAACAAAGACAAACAACCGTCATCACAAAGGTGCCTTTCGTGACAGGCAGAGCAAGAGCCACAGGCCCTGCTGGAGCTTTTTAAAATTTAAATAAATGGATATTTTTAAAATAAATACACATGATTGAGCATGTGTAGTATGTAAAAACATAAAGATTAATTTCAAATGTAATATTTTTATTACTGTGTAATCTCACCATCCAGATATAAATCTTATTAACACTTTTGCTCAATTTCCTTCAGTCATGTTTTTGCATGTGTATGTCTCTGTGTGTGTTTGTGGAGAGACTTTTTTAAAAAATTCTCACTGTCTCTATCATTTACTTTGAAATAATTTCAGGCTTATAGAAAGATTGCAAGAATAGAACAAAGAATTCCAATACAGTCTTACCCAGATTCCCCAAATACAAACATTGTCATATTTGCTTCATATCTCTCTAGCTTTCTCTCTCTCTCCTACATACCTTACTTTTTTTGAACTATCTGATGGTAAATTGCCAACCTCATGCCCGCTTCCCTTTAAATACTTCCATGTGGCTGGGCAGAGTGGCTCATGTCTACAATCCCAATACTCTGGGAGGCCAAGGAGGGAGGATTGCTTGGGGCCAGGAATTTGAGAACAGCCTGGGCAACATAGCAAAACCCCATCTCTACCAAAAAAAAAATTTTTTAATTAGCTCAGGTGTGGTGGTGCACACCTGTAGTCCCAGATACTCAGGAGGCTGAGGTGGGAGGATCCCTTGAGCCCGGGGGGTTTGAGGCTGCAGTGAGCCATGATCACACATCGAGCTACGAGGTGCACTCCAGCCTGGAGACAGAGCAAGACCCTGAGTCAAAATAAAGAAATAAATACTTCTGTGTGTATTCTCTAAAAACAAGACCAGTCTTACATATACCCCCAGATTTGATTTATCAAAATCAGAAAGTTAACATTGAGATTATGGTAGAATTTAATCTACACAGAATTTGTTTAATTTCACTAATTGGCTCACCATTGCTCTTTTAGCAAAATAAAAGATTCTGGTCCAGGATCTAATCCAAGAAAACTTATGACATTTGTACCCTTGGTATCCTTTAATCCGAGTAGTTCTTCAGTCTTTCTTGTCTGGCTTTGACACTTTTGAAGAGTAAGGGTCAATTATGTTATAAAAGAGTTTTGAGTTTTTTGGTGTTTCCTCTTGATTAGGTTCATGTTGTGCATCTTGGCTGGAATATTGCAGAAGTGATGCAGTGTTTTTCTTAGTGCAGGAGGCACGTGCTGTGGTTCTGACACACTACTGATATTGTTAACTCTCATCATTTGATTAAGGTCATTCCTACCAGCATGTTCTACTGTAAAAGTTGCCATTTTACCCTTTGAAATTAAAAGCTATCTAACAGGGAGCAACTAGATACTATATAAATATCCTGTTAAATCCTTAAAATTGTACTTGTGGCTGGGCATGGTGGCTCACACCTGTAATCCCAGCACTTTGGGAGGCCAAGGCAGGCAGATCTCTTGAGCCCAGGAGTTCAAGACCAGCCTGGGCACCATGGCAAAACCCTGTCTCTACAAAAAAAATACAAAAATTAGCTGGTTGTGGTGGTGTGTGCCTGTAGTCCCAGCTACTCGGGAGGCTGAGGTAGGAGGACTGCTTGAGCCTAGGAGGTTGAGGCTGCAGTGAGCCAAGATTGCACCACTGCACTCCAGCTTGGGTGACAGAGCGAGACCTTGTCTCAAAACTAAAATAACATTTTACTTGCTGTTTTTACCATCCTTTGATGATTCTTGCTGCATCAGTTATTATTATGATGGTATCGAAAGGCAGTTCTCTCATTCCAACATTCCTTGTTTATTAGTTTGAATCCTGCTGTAAGGAAGCACTTTTTATTCTCTCCATCTATTTATTTATGTATTTATTCATTCATTTATATCAATGTAGATACTCATGGATTGTAATTTTATTCGATGAATGATAATCTGCTGCACTTTTATTTTGATGCTCAAATTGTTCCAGAGTTGGTCAGTGGGAGCCTCTTGGACCTGGTTCCTATGTCTTTGTGACATGTCCCTATTATTCTTTGAGCATTTCTTTACTTACTTGCACAGCAAAATGTTTCATTTTTGGAATCAGCCAACTCTCCAAGGAGCTCTGGTTCCTTTCAGTGGAGGGTGGTGTTTAAAAACCATGCCTGGGCACTAAATGTGCTCACTGCTACCAAATGTCATTGCTTTTAGACACTCTCAGCAAACAGAGCCAGGTATTTGTCTGTGTCTTGAGATTCATATTGATTTCTATAACTACATATTTAAAGCTATGTATTTAGACTGATACCTCCAATTCCAATCCAACACTACAAGATGCTTTGTAGCTTTCTCCCTTCATGTGTTTGTAATTCCATTCTTTGATAGTACAAAACCCTGGATTCCATTACTTTGTCAATCCTAGAATATACATAGTTTCAGAACTGCTAACACATAACACTGTAAAAACAAACCTACAAACCTACTAGCTACAATAATTACTTACAGTTTTTGTCTTTAACCTGAGGATATAAAGTCAAATTCTTCTGTTCAAAAATACTTGGTTACTTCCCCATGCTCCCTTTCGGGTGGTGATTGTTTAGTTTAATT